GTAATATTTTGACATAGATATGATAGGCTAAAGGACTAATTTATTATAGAAGGCAAAGAAATAAAGCTGTTCCAGGTAAAATTATATTATTTTTCATAGTCATAGAAAATGTCATTGATTCATGATACTTCTTGTATATGGAGATAGATATGGATATAGGTATAGATTTAGATATAGATACATATTTTTCTAAAGATTTAAAAGTGCATTTGAATTTTTAACAAAAGCCACTATTTGTAAAATTTGCTTCCTAGAACTTGGCCACACAAATGCACAGTATTTCTAACTTTTATTGATCATTCTGCCATTCTTTTTTTTCTCTTTTAGTTGACAGTCCTAGCTTAGTATTTAAACTTATATTTTAATCCATGTTTGAAAACTTTCTTTGATTGCTTATTACTCTTTCTAACATTACCAAAGTGTTTGTTTGAGTTATAATTGTCTTACATTAATTGCTTATAACCACATCAACAGTAGTGTAATATGTCATATCATTTCACATCTGATTAAAAAAAAAAGGCATTCTAGAATAAGTTTGACATAAGTTACCCAGATGAAATAAATAGAAAAACATTTATGTGACTTAGAGCATAGTTAGGTCTTTCTGTCCTGTATACTATTAATGGACACAGGATCTTCAGTTCTTAATGGTATGATGGCTGTATATACTTTTCCAAAAGATGTGACAGCCTTTTATAGATCTATTTAAAGTTATATTACTGTGTCAGTCAGTACATTTTTCACAATGAGAAGAATTGGTGAAAATGCAGAATAATATCTAGTAATTTAGAATTTTGTGGTCATTTACATCTACATATACTCACCTTAAAGTTTCTTTTTATTACATGTAATAGTTTGACTACCTTATAACTTACCTTGCTAGGTGACAGTTCTATATGTAACTGAGATCTTTCTAGCCAATATTTGCACCATAATTGGAGCATGACTTCTGCATGACAATGAGAAAAATATAAAAGATTATTTTATAGATGTATTACAAAAAGAGGAATTTTAAAGAATGTGATATTTTCATATTTCTTAATATTTTCAGATTCTATCCATATTTGGTGTAAAAAAGAAATCCACCCCAAAATTAACACTGACTTCCTTTTCTGGTTGCCATACTTGCGATGATGGCTTGTAATAGGGCATATTAGCAACAGAAAATGAGGGAAAGCAGCAAGAAAGGAGGAAAAGATAAAAAGAATGTGTTCTTATAATATAATTAGCCACTAATTTACTGAACAATTAAAGAAATACTAATGTTAGGTGGGAATGCTTCTGTAATTCTGATGTTTCCTCAATTAGTGTTATATTCCTGGCCTCTTTGCTCCTTTATACATTATCCTCAGGGGGGTGGAAAGTATTATCTGCATTATAATTAAAAATAAATGGAAATAATAAATTGGGCATAAGCTTGTGGGAACAAGCTGCCCAGGAGGAAGAGGCATGCTCCTTGGCTTCTCTGTCATGATTCTTTCCTGGGCAGTACTCCCTAGCTCCTACCCAATCTGTATCCTATTCCAGTCCAGCATACCCTCGTATTGGGTTAGTAACTCTGCCTAATTCTGGTGTTTAGTTAGCAAGTTCATTAAACTCTCAAACTAAGCTCTATTCTCCAACCTATCCTTTAGTAATAATAGATGTTACATTTTAATACATGTTTTGTTTCTTGTCTTATTTTATAGTTGATTCAGGTGCAAGAAATGTTACAACTTATTAGGCCTCCTCTAAAATTCCAATAATTAATATTATTTGACCATATCTATTGGAATTATTTATAATTAAAGTATTATTTGAAATAACATTATTAATCCAGTTTAGGATATATTCCATTATTATATTTTTAACCATGTGTTTAAAGATAGTAATGCATTTCTAAAATTATCTAATAATCATATTATTAATGGATGAAACTTCTATCTGGTTAAAATAACCAGAAGTGTGTGTGTGTGTGTGTGTGTGTTTGTATCCTCTACAATACCTAGGAAAGAAGAAAGGAAATTAGCATTTATTGAATACTCTAGGCCAGGCACTAAATTACATATTAGAAATAAATATAATGCTGTTGCTGACCTTGAGAAAATCACAGTGTAATAAAGTAGGCCAGACATGCAGATAGATCATTTCAATACAATGTGGTAAGTGCCAGGAGTATGCACAGAGTACTGAGAAAACAAAAAGAGGAGGCACTTTGCTGGCCTGGACATAGAATGGGCAGTTACATAAGATTTTTACAGAAGGTGCCTGAGAGCTGCAAAGTGAATAGGAAGAATTGACCTAGTTAAGAAAGGTTGGAGACAGGGAAGGCTTGGGGAAAACGAAAGGATTAGTAGCAGAAGGAAGGGTATGTGGAAAGTCACAGAGAAATTAAATAGAATAGAATGTACCTTTTATGTGTCAGAAACTGTACTTGGTGTTTAATCCTTATAACTATTCTTACTTTACATGTGACGAAACTGAGGCTAGTGTCAGAACTGAGATTGAAACACTGATCTGATGCCAAAGTTCTTTCATTTTTACCATTCATCTTCCTACCTAGCACAATGTTAGGTCCATTGATCTAAATATTTGTTCAACTTAATACTAATGTGTCTTATTGAAGAAATTTAACAACTATGATCATATTTTAGAATAAAGCATAAAAGTAAAGCCACATTGTTTTTTTCTGAACAAATTAATATTTTTATTAAAATTTCAAGATAAAGAAGAATGTTCTTTGACTCTTCAAGAAGAAAGTCCTATTGTTTGTACTAATAAAACCCTGAAGAAAATAAACCAGGAAAGGGGAACAAATAATGTCCTTGAAATTCAAGCATCAGGTATGCTATATGCTTTTAAAATGCATTTAAATTTACTTAGTTTGAAAGCCCTTTCTTTGATATCTAGGAAAAACCTCATTTTGCATTAAATTTTCTTCACTTATTTCAGATATTTATTCATTGCACTCCTACTTTTCAAGTTATTTCCAGACCTGGAATGCCCTATTCACTGTCTCTGCTCCTCCCCATTGCCCTACCCCAGTCCACTAAGCGTTATTTCTTCCTTCATTTACACTGCTGCTGCTTCCCTACATTAATCAGAGAACAACTGCAACTCTTCAGACTCTTCTGTCCAGTCCGGAAAATGAACTGCTAATAGTTGCTCTCTCTGTTCTTTTACCCACTATCAGGGTGATGTAAATAAGTTGCTATTGATTCCTATATTGATTTTTTGTTGTTGTTCTGCTGTATAGAATGTTCTTTGACTCCTACGGAACAGCCAGCTTAAGAACATCAAGCTAATTATTAAAATCAATAAGGAAACATGACACTGGTTCTCAAGTATCTTTTCATTCTTTTGGTTCAGTTTTATTTATGATCTCTAAGTGATTATGCAAATCTTTAAATAATGATATTTTAGTGGAAACTAGAAACAATTTTGCATTGTTACAAATTTGTTTGGCTTAGGGTTGTAAGCTAATAGTAGAGGAGGGAAAAGAAAAAAATACGTGGTTCTCTTTATATGGGTCATCATACTTGCCATGTCAAATTCATTACTGAATAAATCCTTTCTAATAAATAATATAGCCATAAAATTATGTAACTCTCTGGGTTCGTTTGTTTTTATTATTCTAATTAGAGTAAATATCCTAAAGTAAATCTGTATACAATCTCATAATTTTTAACTCAGAAAAGAATTTAGATAGAAATTCAGGTTTCCATGAAGTAACATGTTTAATTGGTGTATCAAAGAACATAGCATCCTTATAAAAACATTGCCTTTAATGCTTTTATTTTTGCAGATAGCCAGTGCCAAGCGTACTCTCTCCTAGAAGCAGCAGCTACTCCTATCTTAAAAAAACTTATGTGCCTCTGTACTCTCCCTGCTGCTAATTGGAAATTTGCCACTGTTATTTTTGACCAAACAAGGTTTCTCTTAAAAGAACAAGAAAAAGCAGTAAGTGATGCTATTCACCAAGGTGAGTGCAAATAAAATTCATATTATTTTAAAAGATATAAGTTTAGAGATTATTGTATAAAATTAGTAAAAATTGAGTATAGAAGATTCAGAAATGAGTCATGGACGAAGGTATAACTATAATTCAGTTTATGGTACCCACCCAAACCAATACTGAAAGATCAGCTAAGTAAGCAGAAAAAGGTAAGAAATATCAGAGAGCTTCACACAGAGTCCTAGAGTTGTGCAGAGGATCTCCCTCAAGTATTCAGCAGAGTATTGATCAAAGAATATATGTGAGGAAACTAGCTGAGGTTGTGGGAAAAAACATGTGAAAGAATTAGAGGGACTAGTTTGCTGCATTCACACAGGGCAGGGAGTAATGTCTGTTGCCTCCAGCTAGACTAGAAAAACTCAATTCACAGGGGATTAAGTAGAGTACTCAGCAAAAATGTTGCCTCAGTAGTGGAGAATAATTATCCCTAAGCTTAGCACTGCTCTGGACCTGCCTAACGAATCTCAAAGCAAGACCCAAAGGATCAAACTACTTCCAAGAAATTTAGCTACATCCCATAACAAAGCTCAAGAGAATTTATATGAGTACAAGAATACCTAGGACTCAACAGAGTCATATTCACAATGTCTGCCATCCAATCAAATTACCAGGCATACAAAAAGGCAAGAAAACACAACCCATAATGAGAATAATCAATCAAAACAAACCTGGAACTGACAAAGATATTAGAATTACCACAGAAGGATATTGAAACTTATTAACTGTTGTCTGTATTTTCAAAAAGTTAGAGACATAAAAAAGACCCAAATCAAACTTCTAGAGACTAAACTATAATGTATGAGATGAAAAGGATACTGGATGGGATTGATGACAGATTAAATATTGCAGAAGAAAAGATTAGTTAATTTCAAAGTATAGCAATAAAAACTCTAGCTATACAAAACTATAAATCATTAGTTGGTAAAAGAATGAAAAAAGAGAAAGAAAGAGAGAGAGAGAGAAAGAAAGAGAAAGAAAAAAGAAAGAAAGAAAGAAAAAAGAAAAGAAAGAAATGAAAAGAGCATCAGTGGGCTGTAGAACAACTCCAAATAGCCAGGCCAGGAGCAGTGGCTCACACCTGTAATCCCACCACTCTGGGAGGCTGAGGCAAGAGGATTGCTTGAGGTCAGGAGTTCGAGACCAGCCTGAGCAAGAGCAAGACCCCGTCTCTGCTAAAAAAAGAAAAAATTAGTCGGGCGTCATGGCATGTGCCTGTAGTCCCAGCTACTCAGGAGGCTAAGGCAGGAGAATCACTGGAGCCCAGGAGTTTGAGGTTGCTGGGAGCTAGGCTGATACCACAGCACTCTAGCCTAGGTGAGAGAGCAAGACTCCATCTCAAAAAACAAACAAACAAACAAACAAACAAATAGCCTAACACACTGGTAATTAGACTTCTCAAAAAAGAAGTTAAAAGAGGGTAAATGGAAAAAATATCAGAAGAAATAATGACTGAAAACTTTCTAAATTTAATGAAAACTACAAACCCACGGATACAAGAAACTCAATGAACCCTAAGTACAAGAATCATGAAGAAAGCTACAACAAGGTGCACATAATCAAATTGCTCAAACCCAACAATAAGAAGAAAATTGTAGGAGTAGCCAGAGGAGAAAAAAAATGTTATGTTACATACAGGAAACAAGGATAAGGGTGACATGAGATCTGTTGACATAAATAATGCAAATGAAAAGACAGTGAGTAACACTGTAAAAGCACTGAAAGAAAAATACATCAACCAAGTTTTCTATACTAGACAAAAATATACTTCAAAAATGAAGGCAAAATACATTTTCAGACATAAAAAAGCTGAAAGAAATTATTAGTTACAGATATGCACTACAAGAAATATTAAAGTACCTCCTACAGGCAGAAGAAAAATGATGCTAAATAGATCTACCCAAAGAAATGAAGACCACCAGAAATGGTAACTACATGAATAAATAAGTAAGATTTTTTTTTTGTTATTTAAATCTATATAAAAGGTAACTGATTGTTTAAACAAAAATAATAGTAATATGTTGGGGTGTTTATTACATATATAAAAACAAAATTCATGACAATAGGATGAAGGCCTGGAAGGGAGAAATGGAAATATACATTGTAAGGTCCTTATACAATAAGTGAAGTGGTATAATATCATCTGAAGGTAAACTGCGAAAATGTTAAGGATGTATATTATAAATCCTAATCACATTAAATAAATGTCTAAATTAAGGTTCTAAATACTCATAATAAAAAGGCAGAGATTGTCAGATTGGATAAAATGCAAGGCTCAACTAAATGCTGCTTGCAAGATATAAAGACATGTAAAGGTTAAAAGTACAAGGACAGAAGAAGATATACCATGCTAACACAAGTCAAAAGAAAGGTAGAGTGGCTATACTGGTATCATCAAAGTCAATTTCAGAGCAAAGAATATCATAAGGGATTTTTTTTATCCATGGTCATTTCATAATAAAGTGGTTAGTTCATCAAGAAGACATAAGAATCCTAAATGTTTTTGCACTTAATAACAGAGCTTCCAAATTCATGAAGCAAAATCTGATAGAACTGCCAGGAGAAAGACAAATCTACAATTATAGTAAGAGATTTCAGCACCCCTCTTTCAATAATTGATAGGCTAAGTAGGCAGAAATCAGGGATCTAGTAGACTGGAAGAATGCTATTAACTAGCTTGACCTAATTGCCGTTTGCAGAATATGCCATCTAACCACAGCAGAATACATATTCCTCTCAAATGTATACAGCACATTTACAAGATAGACCACATTCTGAGCCATAAAACAATTCTTAATAAATTCAAAAGAATTCAAGTCATACACATTCTATTTTCTGACCAGAATGGAATTAAGATAGATATAATAACAGAAAGATTATTGGAAAATCCCTAAACATTTGTAAACTAAATAAAACACTATTAAATAATCCATGGATCAAAGAAGAAATCAAAAGAGAAATTATAAAGTATCTTGAAGTGAATGAAAATGAAAACAACATATTCAGAGTTTATGGGATGTCACTAAAGCAGCTCAAAGGGGAAATTTATAGTACTAAACAGTTACACTGAGACCATGAAAAAAGGTTTCAAATCAGTGACCTCAGCTTTCACCTTAAGAAAGTAGAAAGAGAAAAGCAAATGAAACTCAAAGTAAAAAGAAGAAAGGAAATAAAAAAGACTAAAGTGGAAATCAGTAAAATAGAAAATAGAAAAGCAATATAGAAAATCATTAAAAAGAAAAGCTAGATCTTTGAGAATAGCAATAAAATTGATAGACCACTAGCCAGACTGATAAGGAAAAAGAAAACACAAATAGTCAATATCAGAAATAATAGAAGTGACATTATTCCAGATTCTACAGATATTAAAAGTATAATAAGGGAATATCGTGAACAACTTCATACTAACACATTTGACAATGTAGATAAAATGGACAAATTGCTTGAAAGACACAAGTTACCAAAGCTTATTCAAGAAGACATAGATCACCTATGAGACCTATATTTATATAAGTAATTGAATTTGTAGTTTAAAACCTTTCCACAAAGAAAACTCCAGGCCCAGATGGCTACCCTGGCTAATTCAATCAGATATTTAAGGTAAAAATAAAACCAATCTACACAAACTCTTCCAGAAAATAGAAGAGAAGGCAATACTTCCCAACCCATTCTATGGGTCCAATATTACCCTGTTACCAAAACCACATAAAGTCAGAAAACTACAGACCAACATCTTTCATGAACATAGATAAAAAATTTCTAAACAAAATTTAAGCAAATTTAGTTTAACAATATATTAAAAGCATAACACAATGACCGAGTGAGGTTTGTCCTAGGAATTCAAACTTGGTTATAGTAGCTGCTTTAAAAAAGTCTTTGGCTGATAATTTCAACATCTGTCATCTCAGAGTTGGCATCAGCTGTCTTTTCCCTTGCAGGTTGGCATGATCTGGGTTCTTCATATGCTCAATAATTTTGGATTATGTCCAAGACATTTGAATATTATGTTATGAGATTCTGGTTCTTGCTTAAATTTTAATTCTACTAAAGTTGACTTTTGTTGTTGTTTTAGCAGGCAGTCAATCTGGTTAAGTTCAGGCTACTTGCCTTTTAAGGGTTATAGTTCCAATGTGCTTTCACTTTGCAGAGCCTTTGCAGTGCTATTTGGACCTTTCCTAAATGTGTGTCACTCAATGGCCACTCTAGGACCTGGGAAATGATCAGGCCCATAAGTCAGTTCTTAAAACTTTTGCTATATTCTTTAGGGTCAAATTCATACCTGTGTAGCTTTGCAGTTTTCTCAGTTGTCATACCAGTCTGTAGGATCACCCTCGTGAGATCTCTTTTCTCCACTCTGTCCCCAACACATTCTGGCTCTGTAGAGCTCCCCTTCACTGTCCTTTTGCCAGAAAGTGAAGGCTTTAATTTCCTTACTGTGTCATAGACTTCTCATGATGGCATTTGGGGCCAAACGACAAGAGGACAGAAAGAAAAAAGGCAATGGAGATTCACCCTATGCTCTTGGATGAACATCTCCTCTGGCGACAGAGAAGGATTACCTTCCCACAGTGTTTTAGGCATCTACCTGACAGCCATTAATTACCATTGCCACCCTTGTTCCTGATGACCCAACCATTGCGGAGAGAATGGAAAAAATATTTAAAAGAAAAAAACCAGAGACTTTCTCCCACTCTCTCTTATTCATAGGAGTCCCCTTTTTGACTTCTCTGACTGTGGATAGAGGACTTCTCTTATCACTCTTTCTGTCCATACAGTGGTATGCACTTGTGGGTTTTGGGCTGCTTTAGTCCAGGCCAGGAAATACTAAAATGGGGGGAAAAAATAGGAAACTTGCCATTTGTTTGGTGGCATTTTGAAATCTGGATCTTCTTCCCCAGTCCACCGTTGACTTTTCAGAGTTCTCAGATAGCTGCTCCATGTATTCTGTCTTGTGTTTATGAAATATACTTACTCCATCTTACCTGGAACCTACTAGATTTATTTTTAAAGTCATTTTTTTACATTCGTTAAGCTTATATGTCCTATATATTTTAAAAGATTAACTCTCTTTTTAAAAAGAAAAGAATTAAACACAGCATGAAAGACTATAAATCATATTTATCTTCTTTCAAATAGAGTACCCCATTTTTGGGGGGAGCAACATTTTGCTTACCAAAACCTTGAGGTCACAGTAGTATTACTGAAACAGAATACATGATCTTAAAGGAAGGTGTTAATCCATAGTTTACTACTTGAAATACCTATGAGCCACAGGAAAGGCTTAGCAATGAGGATCAATTAAATGATTAAGATCAATACTTTTGGCATTCTGGTAATGATTCTACTAGATAGAAAAGAACAATTGTCAGAAAGTTGGCCTTTATGGAATAAGACAAGACTTCCACGGGGAAAAAATGACCTCTTAATTTAGTTTTAGTCCTGTGAGTCTCAGGTTTTAAATTAGTTGAATATAGATTGAGCTTCTAAAGACTGATTACCATTGAGCAGAATGGTGATTATTATAAAATATATAGGCATAGGTATTTATGAAGTATAATGAAATACAAAAAAGTAACATGGTTTTGGGTATCCAATTGAAACAATACTGCCTTAACCATGAGCAAGTAACATAGTTGCTACACTTGATATTCTTTTGCTGGCCCCAGAATTGGGATAAAACTAAGCCTACGAGTAACAATTAAGCAAACCTAGATTAGCAGTCAGACCACTTCCTACAAGTAGTATCCTAGTCTGTACTCCATTTTCCAAGCATTTTTATGTTTCCGGTTCCCCAAATACAGTTTCTCTGCCCTATTCTCATCCCTTCCAGGTCATGCATGATTTACTTATTCCCCAGTGTCCTTCCATACTACCCATAATTGGCTTTCCTTTTGCCGCTTAATTTCCAATGACTACTACATATTTGCCTTGCTCTTCACTGATTAGATCAATAATTTGCAAACTTTTTAGCATTGTCTTTGTTCAAATAAATATATCATGGGATCCCAATGTATGAAAACAGAAAAGTAGAGCTGCTCTGGTTAAATTGGGACAGCGAGCCTAGAATCCCATCTTCTTGATTTCATTTTTATATGAGGAAAAATCCAATCTATCATATTCGAAAAGCTCTGGAACCAAATGGAACACAATAATTAGGCAATTAGCCTGTCCCTGTCCCTGTGCATATATCTCTTGTTTGAGTCATATCTTTGAACAAATATTCCCAGGGTCTGCCTCCATTTCAAGGTATTTCTTCATGTTATGATCCTCCACCTTTATCTTAACCAGTTGGCAAGTTAGGAATTTAATTTTCTTCTTGCTTCATAACTGAGAATCATTGACCTTTTTTCTCAACACAAGTAGAAATAACTAAGTATTTTCTGGAAGCAACAAGGGTATGAGTTCTAAGGTTAGCTGTCTGGGTTTGAATGACAGCTCTACCATTTATTTACTGACTTTAGACAGTTATTTAACCTCATTAAAACTATTTCCTTATCCATAAATTGAGGATCATAATAAACTTGCCTGATAGGATTGTTGTTATGGATTCAATGAAATAACCAGCTTATATACAGCCTAGTATATAATAAGCACTCAATAATAAATGTTAGCTATCATTATTAGGCGGATTCTGATACTTATTCTAAAATTCTGATATATATATAGTCTGTCTTAAAATATGTTTTTCCTTACTTAGGTACAAATAATGAAAGAGAAATGATATTCAAGCATGCTGCCCTCCTACACCTTCTGGTAACAATTAGAGATGTCCTTTTAACATGCAGCTTGGACACAGCATTGGGTCGGTGGGGAAAAATTTTATTTCTTCTTTCTTCCTACTGAACTATTTCATCTTAAATAACTTAACTTTTCTAAAAAAAAAGATACACCTTATAAGAAATTATATAGCCTTCTTTTACTTATGTTACGCTAAGCATTATATACATTTTGACATAATTATAGTGGAATATATATTTTTATTCTGCTTGTGTTCATGAAAAGAAATTGTCTTTAATAATTATCATCACCTAGAAAAATAGGTTTAGGATTCTCTAAACTAGGTCTGAATTACATAGTCCTGATGGCCTTAGCAGATTTGATTGTCTAATCATTATCATGTACTACTTTTTAACATGAGATTTGACATTTTGCCATATACGTTTTTGGTTCTCATTGCATGTTTGTGGCCTTCAATCTTTGCTACGTAAAATATAACTAAATTATAAAGAGTAAGATCTTTTGCAGTTTCTTTTTTAGTTGTGTGTAAAGTAAGATATGACTTACTTGAATAATGCAACTATTTTGGGCCTGGCATGGTGGCTCATGCCTGTAATCCCAGCATTTTGGGAAGCTGAGGTGGGAGGATTGCTTGAGACCAGGAGTTTGAGACCAGTCTGGGCAACATAACGAGACCCGGTCTCTACAAAAAAGTTTAAAAATTAAAGCCAAGTCCCAGCTATTTGGACAGCTAAGCCAGGAAGTTTGCTGGGGCCCAGGAGTTCGAGGTTACAGTGAGCTCCAATAACACCACTATACTCTAGCCTGGGTGACATAGCGACAGCCTGTTTCAGGAAAAAAAAAAAAACTATTTTGAACATACTAGAAATTTTGAAGACTTTGGAAATTTTTTTCTAACCTATCAAAATAATTAAAATATCTGTCTTACTACATTACTGCTTTAGGTCCTTTATTACAGGATATTTAGACTCAAGAGTTGTATGCTTATAGGATTATGTTTCATAATTTAGAGTTTCTGGAACCTATTTCAAATATAAAGTGAAATAATTTTTCTCTGATCAAGACCCAGACAATTTCTCTTATCTATGACTCAGATGTAAATATTATTTCTCTAATCCAAGGTTTGGTAAGTATTGAGCAACAATGAATCACAATTGCACTCCCTCTAAAGCACTAGGAGCTTTGATATTCTAGATTCTGATATTCTATTTCGATATTATGAATAATAGCCTCACCATTTGTAGAACAATCTTTTATGGAAGCTGAGAAGTAGAATGAAGATGGATGAGTAAATGCAAGGGCATGTGACACTATACCCTTACAGTTGTTCCAGGGACTGGAAACTAGAGTTGTAGTCCCCACTCCTTACTTGTCTATAGATGGAGATAAGGCAACCTGGTCCAGTATCAACATTCAAATGGTTTCATTGGAGAAGAAAGAAAAAACATTGTGCTGGGCTTTCTAAAGGTAGCTGTAGCTTAGTTATAATACTTGGCCAAGATTGTAATCTAGCCAAGTACAATATGCTCAATATTTATCAAAATCTTGGATTGGAGTAATAATATTAATAGAGGATTGCTTGAACAGTATTTACCTTTAAGCACTTTATAACTTACCCTAGTTAAGTGAGACCATTGAGGCCTATATACTTGGACTGAATTATTTTTGCTCCTCTAAGAAATGCGTTTACTAAATCATACTTTGGCATTACTATCTGGCTACCTTGAGGAATACTATAAAATTAAAATTCTTGTTGGAAAACTAACTTCTTAAGCTCTAAATACCAAGCAATAATGAATAACCTAGCTTCCTTGGACATTTTTAGTAGAGGACTTTCTCACTCCTCTAAATCTCTTGAAAGCAAAGACCAAGGTAGGTTGTCCTCCTTTCTTTCTCTCTGTATAATGGCAGAGGAAGAAAAATCCTTGGAGGCCTGACTACCTGCCCTGCTCACTCCCAGAATTCTGTATTTTCTTCCAGCTTCCAGTTTGCTACCTCTCCCAACCTAGCAAGGTAATGAGTTTTAAGGTTCAAGATATAGAGTTTCCCTTCTGGGCTTTAACCCCAGAAATAAATTCAGTATTTATTACTGAATGTAATTTGTATTATAATAGAGATACATAGTAGTGACACAAATGATGGAGACTATTATCCTTAAGATGAACATGTTTTTAAGAAATAAGTAGAAGTTTTCCAAGTCAATATAATATAAAAGAATATTCTAGGCAGAGTTAAGAGCTCAGAGTAGGCCGGGCGCGGTGGCTCACGCCTGTAATCCTAGCTCTCTGGGAGGCGGAGGCAGGCAGATTGTTTAAGCTCAGGAGTTCGAAACCAGCCTGAGCAATAGCGAGACCCCGTCTCTACTAAAATTAGAAAGAAATTAATTGGACAACTAAAAATATATAGAAAAAAATTAGCCGGGCATGGTGGCGCATGCCTGTAGTCCCAGCTACTCGGGAGGCTGAGGCAGGAGGATCGCTTGAGCCCAGGAGTTTGAGGTTGCTGTGAGCTAGGCTGATGCCACGGCACTCTAGCCCGGGCAACAGAGTGAGACTCTGTCTCAAAAAAAAAAAAAAAAAAAAAACTCAGAATAATGGCCCAGGGGGTGGATGTGTTGCCAACAGTTCTTTGTAGCGAGATTGAAGAGGACAAGGTAGAAAGCTACAGGAACTAAGCCTGGAGAAGTAAGAAAGAGCCAAATCATGAAAAGCCTTTTAAGCTACACAAAAGAATTTAGACCTTATTCTGTAGATGATAGGGCACCGTTGAAACAGGGATGCTTCTCAATTAGATTTATTTTTCAAAAGGTTAAGTCTGATGGCAGTGTGGAGAATCAGTGGGAGGTCTGAAGATTAGGAGGTAGAAAGAACATAAATCGATCTCAAAGTTGCCCATCAGCCTAACAATGCTAGTATAAAATTAAAATAAATGTGCACATACATATAACACATGAACATAAACATTAATTTTTTAAATTTATTATTTGTTACCCAAATATTCATTAAACACCTTATCTACATAAGTTACTGTGCCAGGTGCTCTATTACAGTAATTCACAAAACTCACCGTGCAGCAGAATCATATGGAGAGCTTTTTAGACATAGAAATCATTGGGACACAATCTAGATTTACTGAATGTGAACCTTTAAGAATGAGTCTCAGGAATCTATGTTTAAAAATTGCCCTTAGTGAGTCTGAATTTAAGCACTGCTGTTTTAGCAGTTATACAAATTAATTATTAATATGTATAAATACCATGTATTCTGCCCTGAAAGAGCTTTAGGCTAATGAGGTTATTAAGTCATATACATAAATAACCAGAAATCAAGTACAAAAGTCATACAGATAAAATACCAAGAAAATTCTAGTTAAGTAGCATTTCAACAGGACTTGTATGTAAATATAGATTCTGGGATTTAGGAAGAGTGCAATAACATCCAACAAGCCAGGAGGCAGGAAAAGGATAGGATATATAATCAGAAAATACATAGAGTATTTCCAGGTATATTGGTGTTGTGCAGCTTAAAAAGAGACATGTGGTGTACACATTTTTAAGCTTCATTGAGTTTTAAAGTTTTCATTAGTCAGTAACTGATATCAGAAAAGAATTAAAGGTAATTTTTACTATCTCTGTTACAACTCTAATTTTCTTTCAGCCTTACCATGGATTTCTCAAAGAACAAAAAGACCTATGCAATTTTTTTTCTAATTTTGCTATAATAGGATATTTGTCAAATGCAAAAGATATCTACAGAAGCATTTTAGGCTCCTGTTTGGATGATATTTGGAGGCAGTTGGAGATTATTCGGTTTATTAGGGAAAAAAAGCCTGAAACCAACTACAAGACACAGGAATTGCAATGTCAGATACTAAGTTGGATGCAAAGTCAACAGCAAATTAAGGTTAAGTATTGAAATATATCAGATAAAAGTAATCAGTTTAAATAAGAATTGGATGTAAGATAACATTTAACTTTGAAATTATGAAATAGTCAATAATATTTAGCTAAGCATGCCCTACCCCAAAATATTTTCCTCATTGATGTTTGATCTTATCAAAATTTATTCCTTTGTATTAAGCATTGACATCTTTTACAACACAAATATTGACTTTGTAATCTTATTGTAATTAGTTTCATGTGTTTGTTATTTTGTCACTGTATCAAAACTGTGAAATATAATAACCATGAAGATATATATTACAAATATGAAATTCTTATTTTTGACTAGGTGCTGGTTATAATAAGAATGGACTCAGACGGTGAAAAACATTTACTCATTAAGATTCTTAATAAAATGGAAGGTAGGGAGTTGTAAATTATGTTTCATTTAATAACAAATGCTTGAAGATATAAAAATGTATTGATCTAACCAGTTTTTAAAATGAAGATGTAATTAACATACCATAAAATTCACCCCGAAAAGTGTACAACTCAGTGGGATCTAACCAGTTTTAAAATTAATCTGGACCATAAGTGTGTAATATGAATATTCTACAGTGTATTTGTATGTATTTCTTATTACTAATTGACTCCTGTTATTGATTGCCTACTAGTTGCTAAATAATACTGGCTACTTACAACTCTATGAGTAAGTTTTATTAACTCAGTTTTACAAATTAAAGTTCATAAAGGTGACATAGCATGCCAGATCTCACAGGTAGTTACTGAAGAGGTCAGGATTTGAACCTAAGTCTCTTTTGTTTTAGTGTCATTCTTCAACTCTCAATTCTTCAATTCTCTCGGTTATTTTCCTCACCTACTGGTGTTTTCTACCCACTACTGCCCCCTTCTGTCAACCCTGTCTACTTTGTGCTGTGGAACCCATTGCTTATATGTAAACTCTTCATCTCTCTTGTCTTAACTGAAGCCCAGCTTTTCCCCACGTGATACTGCTTCCCCTGTATCCCTAGAAGCTGATCATTTTCTCTATATCTATACCTTACAGGGAGAAAAAAGCTATTTCTTGGTTTCTACTATCATTTCTAAAACATTATTCCTCCATCCTTTGAGCCTGTGCCATATTGCCATACCATTCTCTACCACTCCATATTGCCATCATCTACTAACCACCTGGTCACTTCCTATCATCCATGGACAGTTGTGCACCTGACTCATGGTATTCTCTACACTCCTAATCCTGCCATTATCCTAGGTGTCTTTAATGTCTCTAATGTGAATGATTCATTCAACACTCTGGCCTTATAGTTTCATTGACCTCCGCAACAAAAATTATATTCATCTTCAGGTCACTCCTTGGTTATGCCATAGACCTCGTGATAATGCAGAACTTTCCTATCTCTGAACTTTAAACTCTGGTACATTGCTCTTTGTCTATAGCTAACTCTAGCTCTTTCATAATCTTCAGCATTTTAGAGATCTATAATCTGCCAACTCCTTTTTTGTTTCATTTTCTTATCTTTCCAGTCTTGGTAATTTGATCCATCACTTTCATCAGTCTTGTCCTTCTATTGTCCTTTCCATTTAAACCTCAACCCTGAATCAGTCAATAAAATTAACCTCTCTAGTCCTACACCTAAGATGCTGAGCACAATTGGAGAAAATTACACAACCATGTAGATTGGTGCCACTACAAACTCTTGTCCTCTGAACTTACTTGGCCTCTTAATACCTCTTAACAATCTTTCTACATATTCTTAGTTCCATTCCTATTTTCCTAATGGCTGTACCACAGACCTCTACCATGCCACCCATCCCCTCATTTTTGGAAGGGAATTATTCTTCCTAATTTCCATTAATCAGGTAAGAATCATCCTCAGTTTCCTTCCCTACCATCTACATTGCCTTCATTTCTTTCTGTAGAAGTGAACATCCACTTTTTGATGACCAATCTTTCTCTTGTGCTTTGGATGCCATCTCTCCCTGCAGTCTCAAGCACTTTGTTCCATTAGTTATCTCCTAGCCCATTCTTTCTCTCTAATGACTCTTTTCCTTAATGTTTAAGCCCTCTAGTCTTAAAATAAAATAAAGTACCACCCTCAACGTATGTCACCCTTTGGTCATTATTTCTTTTACTTCTATAACATTCATCTTTTGCCATCTCCATCTCCTAGAATATTTCTTTACTCTTACCTTACTAAATTATTTATCATGCTCTTTCATATCTCCATGCCTTTATACCTCCTATTCCTGCTATGAGAATGCTCTTCCCCCTTCTTTAGGAAGCTAACTGCTACACATACTTTAAAAATTAGTTAAAACGTTTGTTCAGGAAGTCTTCATTTAAATGCTTTATCTCTGTGCTCTCAGAATTATGTGCGTACTTTTAAGGCACCATTTACCACCGTAGGTTATAATAACTGGTTCTCTTGTCTATTTTCCTCACTAAAATGTCAGCTTCTGGAGGAGAAAGATCATACCCTAATTTGTATTCCCACCACCCAGGAAAATGCCTGCAACATAGAAGGCACTCAATAAAAGCTTATTGAATAAATGAAGGAGCCAAGGAATATCTCCCTATATACCTAGTACATACTGAGACTCGTGAAAAAAATTGAACTGAAATATATCAAATACAGCAACAAGTATCTGCTCATCAGTGCAGGGAGTGACGTTAACTAATTTTAAATTATAGTAATGTGTGAATGGAAAGGTCTTTCAAGCAAGGCCTTATAAGGTGCTATTTCTTAATGAAGTTATCATGTGTCCAGAGTTCAGATTTGCAAGCTTGGATATTATTGATTAGTTTATTAAGTTTTTCAGTTCTGGAAAGATGAATTCATATTCACCAAATTCATAAGATCCTTACTAATACCAAAGTGTTAGTTTCAATAGTTAATAATTGTGGAGCTGAGACTGCCACAGTTGTCTGGAATGAGGGTAATTGGAAACATTTAAAAAAAATCAGCAAAGTGCTGAGCAATGTTAGCAATATAAAACAAAGGGATTTGGGTAACCAAAGGAATGTTTTTGAGAAGAAGCTGAGAAAAGATTCCTGTCCACTGAGAATACTTAAACTTACTTAATAGGGCACATTCTCCTCTGATGTCACTTAAGACACATTGACAGATTATTAATCTATATCTCCTCTTACCTAGGCTTCATGCTGAACACTCCTGTTTCTTTTGGCATTTGGGATATATCATCACTATTCTTATTTCTTCATTTCAACAAGGTCTACTGACATAAAAATATTGAATCTATAAACTGGAAAATGTTTTTATTCTTTTTCAGACTGACAACTATCCTCATTTTCTATGAGCTAGACCTATTTCTTGTCTAGTGTTAAAAAGTAAAAATGTGGTTCTATTTTCTATGTGTTTTAAAATCTAGTAATGCACTTACTAAGTAATTAATCTGCTTTGGGGTCATAGCTAGTACAAATTATTTAAGCAGATTAGGTTTTAAATAATATGAATCAACTTATGAATTATAAAAGAGAAATAGTACTCACTCCTTATTACTACCAGAACTATTGTCGTATCAAGTAAAGTTACATGAAATTATTAAACATTACTCTGTCATTATTACATCATATCTTTGTGAATTTTACAGTTCACAAAAGTACACTAATAGAGTGTAGAATTTATTTGAACTAGAATTAACTATTCTTGACTTAATTATGTCTACCAAAAATAAACTCTGTGTGTGGCTACAGAATTTTTTGAAATTTATTGTATTTTGTTTAAACATTAGTAAAATAAGAAGTTTAAATTATAATTAAGAAGCAGGAGTAAATCTAAGGAACAGATGATGCCCAATACATCTTCTGCTTCTTATACAGACAGTAGAAAGAGGAAAAAAAATAGCATTCCTATCACATTGAAATACAGTCACTTGCTATTTAGTTAC